GTTCAAATTACATGATTTAGTAAGCTGTATTAAAGCAGATTCAATTATGTTCCTATTGGAAGTAATTTTACAATTAGTATTAAAGAAGCCATCTCCCAATCAATTTGATGAGAATTTTCTGACACATGAACAAACAAAGCATTAGACAATTAGCTGTGTTTTACAGTATAGTTACATTGCGAATCTCTCTTCGTATCACTCTGATGTCCCGACTTACGAATTGTTTTGGAGGAGCGCGGCCGAACGGGTGCTCACTCCTTAGTCCCTACTCATGTGTGTGTGTGTGTGAGTGTGTGTGTGTGTGTGAGTGTGTGTGAGTGTGTGAGTGTGTGTGTGTGTGTGTGTGTGTGTGTGTGTGTGAGTGTGTGTGTGTGTGTGTGTGTGTGTGTGTGTGTGTGTGTGTGTGTGTGTGTGTGTGTGTGTGTGTGTGTGTGTGTGTGTGTGTGTGTGTGTGTGTGTGTGTGTGTGTGTGAGTGTGTGTGTGTGTGTGTGTGTGTGTGTGTGTGTGTGTGTGTGTGTGTGTGTGTGTGTGTGTGTGTGTGTGTGTGTGTGTGTGTGTGTGTGTGTGTGTGTGTGTGTGTGTGTGTGTGTGTGTGTGTGTGTGTGTGTGTGTGTGTGTGTGTGTGTGTGTGTGTGTGTGTGTGTGTGTGTGTGTGTGTGTGTGTGTGTGTGTGTGTGTGTGTGTGTGTGTGTGTGTGTGTGTGTGTGTGTGTGTGTGTGTGTGTGTGTGTGTGTGTGTGTGTGTGTGTGTGTGTGTGTGAGAGAGTGAGTGTGTGTGTGTGTGTGTGTGTGAGAGAGTGAGTGTTTGTGTGTGTGTGTGTGTGTGAGAGAGTGAGTGTGTGTGTGTGTGTGTGTGTGTGTGAGAGAGTGAGTGTGTGTGTGTGTGTGTGTGTGTGTGTGTGTGTGTGTGTGTGTGTGTGTGTGTGTGTGTGTGTGTGTGTGTGTGTGTGTGTTTGTGTGTGTATTCACCTAGTTGTATTCATCTAGTTGTGCTTGCGGGGATTGAGCTCTGCTCTTTCGGCCCGCCTCTCAACTGTCAACCAATCAACTGTTGCTAACTACTATTAGATTTCCCCACGCGCGCGCGCGTACACCCACACAACCCCAGGAAGCAGCCCGTAGCAGCTGTCTAACTCCCAGGTACCTATTTACTGCTAGGTAACAGGAGCATCAGGGTGAAGGAAACTCTGCCCATTTGTTTTTACAGTGGTGACGGGGAATCAAACTCCGGTCCCTAGGTCCACGACTCTAGAGCGCTGTCCACTGAGCCACCACCCTGGTGACCGCTGTGTGTGTATGTCTGCGGGGTGCATACCGTCTCACTAAACATAACGACAGTGGCTGCTGGAGGTATAGACCATACGCACACAGGAGTCGCCACTGCTCCAGTGGAGCGTGCTGACCTCCACAACTCGCTCCGACAGATACATATTTTCCTTCAGAAAGTACAAGCGGACGCTTTCGAGCGGATCGTAGGTCTTTAGGAATACGTTCTAGTCTGCGTAACGTGTGTTATTAGCTCGCCATCTCATTCCACGTCCTTGGTGCTCACAGCTTATTTTTTCTCTGCTCCTGCAATTTGTACGATGCTGTGTCTTTGTCACATTGGGATAGCTTGATAAACTGTATCTCTCTGTACCACAGCTGCTGACGTTAATATCTCTCTCTCTCTGTACTACACTGGCTGATGTTACTCCCTCACAGTACCACACTGGCTGGTGCTGAATCCTTATCTTTACTAAACTCGCTGACCTTGAATACTTATCGGAAACATACTAACCGAGCTTGAATTATACTTCAGTATAATTCATACATATATTATACTGACTGACGTTGACTCCCTATTTATATTAGTGATCAACACAGGATCCTCTTAACATACTACACAAACACCAATTTTAAACAAGATCTTAAAGCATCGCTCACACAACAAGACGGTGACAAGTTATACACAACATGACATGGCGGAATGCAACACAAACATTGCAATACCTTTAAGCTTCCATTCGTCACCGTGTAAGTACTTAGACAACGGACAAATGGCAATGCATTTCCTCAAACAACACACTGACTACCTTGACCTACATGCTGGAGTGCTAGAAGACTCTGTCCTGCCCTCCAGCATTTCCCATTGTTCATACAGAAGACATTCCTCTCCCTTTACATCACACATCCCTTTCCACCTGCTACGCTGATGGGATTCCGTAGCTCATCATCGATAGTATCATTTCCGACTAGTCCCAACGAACATAGGATGACGCAGACCATCAGAGAATGATGCAGGCCATCCCAGAATGATGCAGGCCATCCCAGAATGATGCAGGCCATCCCAGAATGATGCAGGCCATCCCAGAATGATGCAGGCCATCCCAGAATGATGCAGGCCATCACAGGATGATGCAGGCCATCACAGGATGATGCAGGCCATCACAGGATGATGCAGACCATCACAGGATGATGCAGACCATCACAGGATGATGCAGGCCATCACAGGATGATGCAGGCCATCACAGGATGATGCAGGCCATCACAGGATGATGCAGACCATCACAGGATGATGCAGGCCATCACAGGATGATGCAGGCCATCACAGGATGATGCAGGCCAGGTCTCACATAGGGAGCACAGCTGGTGTATCCAGGTAACGCCTACGTTACCCAATATCACACACTTCTGCTGTAACAACCACCACCTAAACACACTTCCAGTTAAACTATACTCGCGATCACCTACATCCACACTGTCTCTAACTATACTCTAACAATTACTAACAACTACAGTAATTGTCCTTAAGGCTCGACAACAACTTTCGAACACACACACGCACCACGTCACCTAAAAACAAGCCATAGGACTTAAGTCACTAGAACAACTGTGCTACACTTAGAACAACGCATCCTCCCTAATACTCATACTCCGCCTAAGTAAAAAAGAAACAAGCAACACTTAGGGGGCCAGCCAGAGGCTTAGGGCCCGCGCAGGAATATCCCTGCATAAAAAAAGCATTCTCCGAATAGACAGTACGTTTCAAAATAAGTACATAATTACACTTATTGTGCTGTTACATATACCTTCCCATATATTCTCTTCACTTTCTGTTAAGACATTTAAAATTTTAGAATTAAGTTTTCACGTAAAGCTTTATTTATTCAAGTTTTAAATATAAAGAATTTATTTTTCAGTTTTATTAAACTATTGAGATTTTATACAAAATTTTAAAATATCCTGAGTTACTTTATAATTTATTGAAAGATTTTAGATTTGTTTTATTAGTTTTATAAAACTGTAATATCTATATAGGTATAGATTAAGTACTAATTGTGATTAAGAAGCAATAAACTGCTTGTCCTCATACACCAAGAAACTTAGATTAGATCATGGTGTTCTCTTCAGGTTTTCAGGTAAACTCTAATATTCACAATATTTTCGTGTGATTCTGGCGATTTAGTGTATTATGTACTAAGCCCGTAGGCAGGATTGTACTTATTACCCTTAGTATTAAAACGTACTATCTATTCGGAGGAGGGGATGCTTAGAAATGGCAAATACACACAGATACTCACACACACTCAACCTTTACTTACCTTCTCACAACATACCAACCGCCTGCCCTTTCACTAGCAGCTAATACAACACACACACACATCTATCACCCACTGGCCAGAATTTACTTCCATTAAAAGTTTCCAAATTACAGCAGACATACAGCCCATCAATGTATCCTGTAAACTCATTCCCGATCAACAGATCCACAAAAAATATACCACGATCATACTACATTTCTCAACGACACAATCAGCACGCCCAGAAACACTCTCAACCACTTCAGCATCATACAGGAGCTGCCACCACAGCTCTAATACACATAAACATCACGCCCGTAATTGGTCATATGAACCTGACCACGCCCACTTTATTATATAGCTGATTTGTGGTACCTTGCGAGGATTCGCTAGCACAGTACCCTCCTTGTTGCTTCTCTCCCACGGCAACTTCCGACTGTTGAAGGGCTTTTATCTCGCCTTCCTCCCTCTCAAACATAGGGTATGGGAGCTTGGGCAGGACGTAGATGATGCCCATGCCTGTGTGTTTTGCTCTCCGAAACAGCGACCGACAGTATGCAATACCTGAAATGAATCACAGAAACGCTGTTCCTCCCCCCACCCCTCCCTCCCCACCTCCTGGTCGTTTCCGCTCTCCTCCTCAAGCAGCACCATCTGGGGTGGTGTGCAGCACCATCTGGGGTCGTATGCAGCACCACCTGAACCCATGTCTGTATTACACTGGCTGACGTTAAATTCTTATCAGCATCAAGCTAGCTGACGCTAAGTCCCAGACTGACCTCATGCTGACTGTCAATTACTCACTTTCCACTTTTAACAACCAAAGCTAATTAACTGTAATTAGATACATGACGTCAAGGCTATTCTTTTAAGGGAGTTCCTCAGCACAACTTTCAACTTCCTCTACCAATACTGTTCATATAATATATTTGCACGTATAAATTTAATTCAGTAATCCTAAAAATTCGTTTTGTTTTTCCTTCATTGCTCCTCTTATCTGTTACTAGAAAAGATATCCTGCAATGCCCGGGTCTCTTGTCCTCTCTTCCTCCACGCTTCCCTTATTTCCCACCTACTCCCTGGTCCATCTCTCAGAAAATATATTATTACTAAGCATTGAAAAAGCTGACCTATAATATGGGAAAGCCAACGTATACCTGCAGGGGGGGGGAGGGGGGTGTTATATGTCAAACTTGGACTGTCTTCAGTAAGCCTTGAGAGTTCCCGTTGATTTAGTGGAGTCCCAGGGTGTATAAACTCATGCCATGTCGTGGTGCAGGGGTAAGGTGCGCGGCTGGAAATAACCCGATCGCTGGTTCGAGTCGCCTTATTGCTCCAGTTGATTTTCGCATACGAAACGTTCTAAATATACTTCAGAATCTAGATCTGAATTACATCATTTTAATTCAATTATATAATCTAACCCCCCCCCCCCCCTCCCGCAGAGAGAAGACTGTTCAAGAAGAAGCTTGGGGGAACAGCAATATCAGGGCCTGCACCAACAGCAGGAGTAGCAGCAGCAGCTGCAACAGCATCAGCAGTAGGAGTAATAACGGCAGTTGGAGCAGCAGGAAATGAGGCGGTGGTTGAGTGTAGTGGTAGTGGTGCTGGCAGGGGCCCTACACCCCCTGAAAGCCAGGGACTTGGGCCACGATGAGGCTCATATTGCCAGGGTCATCAGACAAGTCGTCTTTACTGACTTCTTTTCAGGTTGGTGTAAATAATAATAATAATAATAATAATAATAATAATGAGAAAAATCAGTAAGATCCTTGAGGAGGATTCAAACCCGGTCACTTGGTACTCCCAAGCCTAGCGCCCTAGACCACTATAACACGACACGGTCAAAAGCAGTGCAACCTGGGATTCTACTGAATCCACTAGGTTGTCCTGAGGTGCCCAGTCAACTAGGGCTCAGGAACCCCTAAAAGATTCAGTAGAATCCCAGGTTGCATTGCTTTTGACCATGTCGTGGTGTAATGGTCTAGGGTGTGTGCTTTGGAGTACCCTGAGTATAGGTTCGAATCCTCCTCAAAGCTCTTACTAATTTTCTCAATGATAATAATAATAATAATAATAATAATAATAATAATAATACACAGATAAATCACATTAACATGATATATCAATGAACAGCTTACCTAGTATATGGAACGACTTCCCCAGTATATGGAACGACTGCCCTAGTATATGGAACAACGTCTCCAGTATATAGAACAGATTACCTAGTATATGGAATAGCTTCTTACCCAGTATATGGAACAACTTCCCCAGAATATGTAACAGATTACCCAGTATATGGAACAGCTTAATCTGTATATGGAATAACTTATTAAGGCAAAGAGTTAATTGAATATATTGAAAATAGAACAGGAAAACATTTATCTTCAAATTCACGGGATTGCATTGTCTGTGTTCCGATAAACGTTTCAAGATCCTAGTTTGGATTAAATGGTTTCTTGCTGTTTGCAATGGTTCGTTTACCTCTGAAATACGCCGAATTTTAGTCTCATACAACAATTAATATTTTTTGTTAATGATGGACATGTAACAAAAAATATAGTATATATATTAAAATTATAAACATAAGGTTATTAACATAAATAACATTTAGAGTAAGGACAAGAACAGCATTGCAATATATTGAATTACAGTTGCAATGTTTTAGATCATTACACAGGATATATGCATTTGCAGCTTGCAACACAAACCATTAAAATATACACAACTGAATGAATATCAAATACAAGTAATTCCAGAAGACCTTGTGCTCTCCGCAATGCGACCTAACACTGTGTTGTGTTCTCAGGAGGATCACAGCGACCCTCGAGGCCCGGGGTTCCCTCGAGTCCCGGGGGATGCTTCTGTGTCCCTTTGGTGAGGTGTTCCTCAGTTGAACAGGTGAGTGAGAGAGAGATGCTCCTCAGTAGAATTGGACGTGAAAGAGAGAGATGTTATTCAGTAGAAGAGGTAGAGTGAGTATAATTTCACACGTATAATTCGCATTATTGAATATCATATATTTTCACTGTCAGCTTATTTGGCTTGACTCGTATGTTTTCCCTGAACGCTTATGTTGCATCGAAGGTTTAAATATTTATGATATAATGAGTTTGTTTATACTGGTGTTCAGATCCGCCAGGGGTGCTCGCTGCCCAACGGTGGCCCAGGAGTGTGCTGTCCGTTCCCGCCCTCGGCTGGTAGGTCGCATTCTTGTGTACTTGTATTTTATAAGAAGTACTGTTGATACTTGTGTCATTTCTCACTGGGAAAAACACCCTTTCAGTGAGTGTGTGTGTAATATAACATTTAAGTTCCTCTTCATGTTAAATGAAGTTTTAAGGTTGTGGCATTTTTTTTCAAAACACATTGTATTGATATTTGTGTTATCTCTACTCTCAACACTATTCCCAAGATTTAAATAACAGCCTCCATTATTCTCTGTTCGCTGGCAGCTTTCCTCCAAGTCCTCCGACGCCTCCGCTAGTGTGTTTCTCCGGTGTAAGTTATTATTGTCTCTGGTCTCCCGCAGGGTCAGCGCCGGGGGTCAGCAAGGCGGTCTTCAGCAACCCCAGCTTCAACGTGCCCTTGAGGGACCTCCATCCGGCTAAGGTCAACGAGGCGTGCCACAAGGGCCTCCAGGAGATCAACAGCATCAACCAGCTCGAGCAGGACCTCATACGGTGAGAGGAGAGGAAAGAGAAGGCGTAGAAGAGGGAGAGGGAAAAGGGTGGGTAGAGAGGCAATGAGAGAGAAGGGATAGTGAAGGGACAGCGATATGGGAAGGGAATAAAATATGAAGGTAGTTTAGACACGCAGAGAGGAGGACACAGGTCAGATACACAGGCGGGGATACAAATACACAGGAGGGGACACAGACAGATACACAAGCGTGGACACATACATAGGCAGGGACACAGACGGGGACACAAATATAAGCATCAAATGGCTCTCTCACCCTCTCATACAACCATCCACAGGCTCTCTCACCGCCTCAAACAAGCATCCACTGCGTCCCTAATCACCCATATAACAATCCTAACATGGTACTAACCCGTGTCCTCTCCCAGGAACAACATGGTACTAACCCGTGTCCTCCCCCAGGAACAACATGGTACTAACCCGTGTCCTCCCCCAGGAACAACATGGTACTAACCCGTGTCCTCTCCCAGGAACAACATGGTACTAACCCGTGTCCTCCCCCAGGAACAACATGGTACTAACCCGTGTCCTCCCCCAGGAACAACATGGTACTAACCCGTGTCCTCCCCCAGGAACAACATGGTACTAACCCGTGTCCTCCCCCAGGAACAACATGGTACTAACCCGTGTCCTCCCCCAGGAACAACATGGTACTAACCCGTGTCCTCCCCCAGGAACAACATGGTACTAACCCGTGTCCTCCCCCAGGAACAACATGGCACTAACCCGTGTCCTCCCCCAGGAACAACATGGCACTAACCCGTGTCCTCCCCCAGGAACAACATGGCACTAACCCGTGTCCTCCCCCAGGAACAACATGGTACTAACCCGTGTCCTCCCCCAGGAACAACATGGTACTAACCCGTGTTCTCCCCCAGGAACAACATGGTACTAACCCGTGTTCTCCCCCAGGAACAACATGGTACTAACCCGTGTTCTCCCCCAGGAACAACATGGTACTAACCCGTGTTCTCCCCCAGGAACAACATGGTACTAACCCGTGTTCTCCCCCAGGAACAACATGGCACTAACCCGTGTTCTCCCCCAGGAACAACATGGTACTAACCCGTGTTCTCCCCCAGGAACAACATGGCACTAACCCGTGTCCTCCCCCAGGAACAACATGGTACTAACCCGTGTCCTCCCCCAGGAACAACATGGTGCTGCCCTTGGACTCACCCGCCAGTGTTCACCTCAGGGTCTTCGAGATCTCCAAGAGAGCCAAGAGGATGGACGCAGCGGCTTCCGCCATTCTTGCCGCCTCTTCCAACATGCTTACTGAGTAGGTGTGGTGGAGTGTGTGGGGTAGCAGGTGTGGTAGCAGGTGTGATAGAGGAGTTGGTGCGGTGTAAGAGTATCTGTGGTAGTAGGGACCTGCTTGATACTTGCATGATGGGGTTCTGGGAATTCGTCTACTACCCAAGCCTGACCCGAGGCCAGGCTTGATTTATGATATCTTTGTCCAACAGGCTGTTGCTTGAAGCGGCCCGCAGGTCAACATATCCACCACAGCCCGGTTGGTCTGGCACTTCTTGAAGAAAACTCCTTAGTTTTCTATTGAAGATGTCCACGGTCGTTCCGGCAATATTTCTTATACCCGCTGGGAGGATATTAAACAACCGTGGACCTCTGATGCTTATACAGTGTTCTCCGATAGGTTCTCTGCCTATGGCACCTCTGCTCTTCACTGGTTCTATTCTGCAATTTTCTTCCATATCGTTCACTCCAGTATGTTGTAATTATATGTTGTGTACATTTGGAACCTGGTCATCTACTATTTTCCACGTGTACGTTATTTGATATCTCTCTCGTCTCCTTTCTAGTGAATATATTTGGAGAGCTTTGAGACGATCCCAATAATTTAGGTCTTTATCGCGTCTATGTATGCTGTGTATGTTCTCTGTACTCCCTCTATTTCACCAATCTCTCCTGCTCTGAAAGGGGGAAAGTGAGTTCCGAGCAGTACTCAAGACAGGACAGCAGAAATGATTTGAATAATACAACCATTGTGATGGGATCTCTGGATTTGGAGGTTCTCGTAATCCATCCTATCATTTTTCTGGCTGACGCAATATTTACTTGGTTATGCTCCCTAAACGTTAGGTCGTCAGACATCATTATTCCCAAATCTTTTAAATGATGCTTTCCTACTATAGGCAGATTGGATTGTGTTTTGTACCCTGTATTAAGGTTCTCATTTTTAACGTACCTGAGTGTTACGGCCCTCTCGGGTCGCAACTGGGTTCGTACTCTGATGTTATTAGAGGAAGGGTATCCGGCCCCAAGCCAGTAGTGGCTTTCAAGGGATGAGATCCATGACGGAAGTAAAATAAAAGGGGAAGGGAAAGAAAGGCAAAAACTTAATATAATATAACCACCACCAATAAATAATATATAAAAGGTTACACAGGGGGAGGGGTATTAACACTTATTTACACTGTCGTCTTCTCCTGAAGACTCTGGATCCTTTCGATGCCAAGTTCTCAGGGCTCTCGTGGCCTCACGACGAATCCTTCGAAAAGCTGAGTCTACCCCGGCCACAGGTCAGCCAAAACACAGTTCCACTGGGGGCACCGCCGTGGAGGCCGTCAACCACAAGTCCAGCAGAACAGCTGGCAGGTTCCGGATCAGCAACGCTGGTCGGGCCACTCCACGAGCGATACTAGGGTAACGCCCTAATCAGGAGCCTCGTGTGATACCACAGATCACTCTCCTGTCCACAATACCCCAGTAGTTAATCGTCTCCAGCAGTCTGTCCCGGGTATGACAATCCTCAACTGCCGCTTCACAGGCAGGGTAACACCACAGTGTTCATCCGGGAGGCGACTCACAGCTGCTGCAGCAAAGCACAAGGTATGGGGACGGCTGCCTTGGGTAGACTGACTCAACTTCCCTTACAGCAGTCCGAGGTCGACTCTGTAAGCAGACACGTCATCAATAACAGGGACACACTAAAGCACCTCACTTACAGGCTCAGACACAAACGCCCGACATATCCACTCCATAGATGGCGTTGACGTCTGAGCACCACCTCACCAGAGGTCAGCAGCGGCGGTGTTGTGAGCTGAACAGGACTGGAAACTGGCCCTTGTGGCCGGTACACTCCGTCCTCACCAGGTGTCATCGTCCATTGGGAGGGGGTTTCGGGAGCTGACCCTGGCGCGGTCGTCACTGCTCCGTGCTCGGACGCTGGATTCGGGTCCGTAACACTGAGTACCTGGAATTTAAGTCTCCGCGGTGCAATGGTAAGACACACGCCTGGCGTTCCGCGAGCGCTTTGTCATGGGTTCGTATCCTGACCGGGGAGGATTTACTGGGCGCAAATCCTTAACTGTAGCCTCTGTTTAACTAAACAGTAAAATGAGTACTTGATTGTAAAAACGATTCTTTGCGGCGGGGATCGTATTCCAGGGACCTGCCCGAAACGCTACGTGTACTAGTGGCTGTACAAGAATGTAACAACTCTTGTATATATCTCAAAAAATAAAAACACACTGTTAAACAACATGGTATTGTCTCCTCCCCCGTCCAAAACTTTATTAATATCTGCTTGTAGTTTTTCAGTGTCTTCAGCAGAGGTAATTTTCATGCTGATTTTTGAGTCATCTGCGAAGGACGATACGAAGCTGTTACTTGTATTTTTGTCTATATCTGATATGAGAATAAGGAAAAGCAGTGATGCAAAGACTGTACCCTGAGGTACAGTACTTTTAACTCAGCTTGGACTCGATTTTATATGGTTGACTGTTACTCTTCGTGTTCTGTTCGACAGAAAACTGAGTATCCACCGTCCTACTTTACCAGCTATTCCCATTGACCTCATTTTGTGTCCTATCACTCTTTGGTCACATTTATCGAATGCCTTTGCGAAGTTCGTGTATACCACATCTGCATTCTGTTTTTCTTCTAATGCCTCAGTGACTTTGTCGTAGTGATCAAGTAGCTGTGAGAGGCATGATCTTCCCGGTCTAAATCTATGTTGGCCTGGGATGTAGAGGTCATTGACATTATATAAATATTTATTCTATAAATATTTGCCAATGTTTTGCTCCCTACCTTGTGTAGAGGGGCTATGTCTGCTGATTTAAGCGCATCTTCTATCCCCCCCCCCCCCCCCCCGAGTCCAAGCTCTTCCTCCACACTATACTAAGTGCCTGTGCTACTGGCCTTTTGCAATTTTTTTATAAATATTCACTTCCACGAGTCTGGACCCGGGGCTGAGTGCATGGGCATGTTGTCAATTTCTTTCAAATTCTACCACGCTCGTGTTTATATCAGTTATATTTACAGGGTTTTGGATATCACCCATTAGAAAGTTGTCCGGATCCTTTACTTTCATGTTGTTTATTGGAGTGCTAAACATGTTTTCATACTGTTTTTTTAGTATTTCACTAATTTCTTTGTCATACTCAGTGTATGAACGTTCACTCGTACGAATAGGTCCAATAATGGTTGCGTTTTTTGCTTTTGATTTCGCATATGTGAAGTAATATTTTGGGTTTTTCTTTATTTCATGAATTGCTTTCTGTTTTAGTTGCCTTTCTTCAATCTGATATGAATGTATCAGTCTCTGCTCGATTTCTTCAATCTCCCTGATTAAATTATTCCATCTTTATAAGGAAAGTCATGTCTGCTTAACAATGTAAGCAGTTGTACTCGTGTAATTGTACTCATCTTTTGTACTCATGTAATCATTTGTATTAATTTAATTGTACTCATGTAATTTTACTCATCACTTGTATTAATCTAGTTTTACTTATGCTTTTCGAGTTCTACTCATCTAGTTTTATCCATTAAGTTAGGCTCATCAAATTGAACTCATACCAATCACACCTCTATTTGAACCCATGCAATTGTAGTCATCTAGCAAGTCTCGTCGAGTGGTACTTGAGTAGATTGAGTGAGTAATCCCCTGACCCCTTCCTGACATCCCCAGCTTCAACCTAACCCCACAGCAAGGGGGCTTCGGTCTGAGGGGCCTGCAGGTGGGCGGCACCAGCCTCGCCCACACCTGCCCCCGGACCCCCACCTGTGACCCCAACAGCAAATACCGTACAGCTGATGGCTCCTGCAACAACCTCAAACACCCGACCTGGGGCCAGAGCAACACGCCATGCCAGAGAATTATGGCTCCCACCTACGCTGATGGTGAGTGAGTGAGTGAGTGAGTGAGAGAGAGAGAGAGAGAGAGAGAGAGAGAGAGAGAGAGAGAGAGAGAGAGAGAGAGAGAGAGAGAGAGAGAGAGAGTGAGAGAAAGAGTGAGAGATTTACCAATAAATATGGCATTTGTGACTATTAAATGTTAACACAGTATAAGTACTGTTTTAATAACAATTATAATTATTATTTTTATTAATGTTATAATAATAACATTTATTATTATATTATAAAAATATAATATAATAGTAATATAATATTATTATAATTAATCATAATAATAATTAGTTACATTATATGGAAGTACTAGACGGGGAGGTACCCGGCGGTGCCTGGGTCTGTATGTCTGTCTCCCATCTGTCCATCTATCAATCTATTTAATTATCCATCTATCAATCTATTTAATTATCCATCTATCAATCCATTTATCTATCCTTACCTCAGTCCTTATATTTTTCATTCGTCTGTCTATCCACCCATCCATCTAACCTTCTATCTATCCATCTATCCGTACATCTATCCGTCCTTCTATCTGTCCATTTATCTTTATCGCCATCCATCTATCCACTTATCTAAACAGCTATCACTATCAATATACCTATCCGTCTACCCATCAATCTATCCTATTCATCTTTAAAGCTACAAAGCCATCTTTCCATCTACCAATATATCTACTCATCTGTCTATCCATCTATCTATATATATATTCATCCATCTATCCATCTACCAATATATCTACTCATCTGTCTATCCATCTATCTATATATATATTCATCCATCTATCCATCTACCAATATATCTACTCATCTGTCTATCCATCTATCTATATATATATTCATCCATCTATCCATCATCTATCCATTTATATATCCATCAGCTATCCATCTATTTATCTATCAATCCTTCTATCTATCAATCCTTCTATCTATCAATCCTTCTATCTATCAATCCTTCTATCAATCCTTCTATCAATCCTTCTATCAATCCTTCTATCTATCAATCCTTCTATCTATCAACCCGTCTATCTATGAACCCTTCTATCTATCAACCCTTCTATCTATCTACCCTTCTATCTATCAACCCTTCTATCTATCAACCCTTCTATCTATCAACCCTTCTATCTATCAACCCTTCTATCTATCAACCCTTCTATCTATCAACCCTTCTATCTATCAACCCTTCTATCTATCAACCCTTCTATCTATCAACCCTTCTCTCTTATATCATACATTTGTTATAATAGGGCATCCAAATTTACCTCACAGTACCTCGCCACCGGTATGTACCTCACTGTACCATCACCCCAGATGTGCATCTCACTGTTGCCTCCCCCACAGATGTGTGTGTACCTGAATGAACCCCTCACCACAAGTGTGTGTACCTCATTGTCCCCTCACCACAGGTGTGTGTGTGTACCTCACTGTACCCTCCCTACAGGTGTGTGTGTGTGTGTGTCTCACTGTACCGTCCCCACAGGTGTGTGTGTGTCTCACTGTACCGTCCCCACAGGTGTGTGTGTACCTCACTGTACCGTCCCCACAGGTGTGTGTGTACCTCACTGTACCGTCCCCACAGGTGTGTGTGTACCTCACTGTACCGTCCCCACAGGTGTGTGTGTACCTCACTGTACCGTCCCCACAGGTGTGTGTGTACCGCACTGTACCGTCCCCACAGGTGTGTGTGTGTACCTCACTGTACCGTCCCCACAGGTGTGTGTGTACCTCACTGTACCGTCCCTACAGGTGTGTGTGTGTACCTCACTGTACCGTCCCCACAGGTGTGTGTGTACCTCACTGTACCGTCCCTACAGGTGTGTGTGTGTACCTCACTGTACCGTCCCTACAGGTGTGTGTGTGTACCTCACTGTACCGTCCCCACAGGTGTGTCAGCGCCACGCACCAGGTCAAGCGACGGATCACCGCTGCCCAACGAGCGACTCATCTCAAACGCTGTCATTCTGGACCTGGACAACCCCGACCAGACCTTTACACTCTCAGTGATGCAGTGGGCGCAGCTCATAGACCATGACGTGGCCCACGTTCCCTTCCCTTCCATGGGTAAGTTATTCACGTTCCTTTCGTTGCTATGGGTAAGTTACTCACGTTCTTTTCTCTTCCATTGGTAAGTTACTCACGTTCCTTTCCCTGCCATGCGTAAGTTACTCACGTTCATTTCCCATCCATGAGCAAATTACTCACGTTTCCTTCCTTCCCATGGGTAAGGTGAGGCAAATATCAGGAGAAAATGCCAAGTCCTAACTCTATAGCATTAATATAGACGCCAAGACTATAACACTTGGAAGGGGTCAGGATAAGGATTTGAGAAGTGAAAGGAAGGAATGATGAGATTGATCGCCGACCAGCATGAAGCCAGCCCGAGAGGTTGGGCACGTTCTGGACCTTCCTATGGATAGGATGCCAACGTTCTGTTAAATGTGACGGATAAGTTGCCCCACGACTCGTTCTCAAAAATGAGTAGGTTGGCAATGTGTCTTTACTTGCTAGGGATAAGTTGCCAACCTTCCTGTTCCCTGGTATGGGTAAGCTTCTTCCTTCCCCTCTCTCTTCCTTATCTCAGGCTACTCCCAAGGTTGGCTTTTGTGGTAGATTTTAGGGAACGTTCCAGTGGTAGCCTTGAGGAGTGGCTGGGGGAGGCGGAATATGCTCAAGGTGTTGCTGAGGAATGAAAGAGAAAGTCACCCTTACAGTCTCTTCAAGGTTACTGTGTCACCGAGGTTACTGAGTCCCCCAGGTCACTGTGTGTCTCCCCCCAGGTCACTGTGTGTCTCCCCCCCCAGGTCACTGTGTGTCTCCCCCCCCCCCAGGTCACTGTGTGTCTCCCCCGCAGGTCACTGTGTGTCTCCCCCCCCAGGTCACTGTGTGTCTTCCCCCCCCCAGGTCACTGTGTGTCTCCCCCCCCAGGTCACTGTGTGTCTCCCCCCCCCAGGTCACTGTGTGTCTCCCCCGCAGGTCACTGTGTGTCTCCCCAACAGGTCACTGTGTGTCTCCCCAACAGGTCACTGTGTGTCTCCCCCCCCAGGTCACTGTGTGTCTCCCCCCCCCAGGTCACTGTGTGTCTCCCCCTAGGTCACTGTGTGTCTCCCCCCCCAGGTCACTGTGTGTCTTCCCCCCCCCCAGGTCACTGTGTGTCTCCCCCCCCCCAGGTCACTGTGTGTCTCCCCCCCCCAGGTCACTGTGTGTCTCCCCCCCCTGGTCACTGTGTGTCTCCCCCCCCCTGGTCACTGTGTGTCTCCCCCCCAGGTCACTGTGTCTCCCCCCCTGGTCACTGTGTCTCCCCCCAGGTCACTGTGTGTCTCCCCCCCAGGTCACTGTGTGTCTCCCCCCCAGGTCACTGTGTGTCTCCCCCCCCAGGTCACTGTGTGTCTCCCCCCCAGGTCACTGTGTGTCTCCCCCCAGGTCACTGTGTCTCGACCCCCCAGGTCACTGTGTCTCGACCCCCCAGGTCACTGTGTCTCGACCCCCCAGGTCACTGTGTCTCGACCCCCAGGTCACTGTGTCTCGACCCCCCAGGTCACTGTGTCTCGACCCCCCAGGTGACTGTCTCGACCCCCCAGGTGACTGTCTCGACCCCCCAGGTCACTGTGTGTCTTCCCCCCAGGTCACTGTGTGTCTCCCCCAGGTCACTGTGTCTCCCCCCCAGGTCACTGTGTCTCCCCCCAGGTCACTGTGTGTCTCCCCCCTCAGGTCACTGTGTGTCTCCCCCCCAGGTCACTGTGTGTGTCTCTCCCAGGTCACTGTGTGTCTCCCCCCAGGTCACTGTGTGTCTCCCCCCCCCAGGTCACTGTGTCTTCCCCCCAGGTCACTGTGTGTCTCCCCCCAGGTCACTGTGTGTCTCCCCCCCAGGTCACTGTGTGTCTCCCCCCCAGGTCACTGTGTGTCTTCCCCCCAGGTCACTGTGTGTCTTCCCCCCAGGTCACTGTGTGTCTTCCCCCCAGGTCACTGTGTGTCTTCCCCCCAGGTCACTGTGTCTTCCCCCCCCCCAGGTCACTGTGTCTTCCCCCCGGTCACTGTGTCTCCCCCCCAGGTCACTGTGTCTCCCCCCAGGTCACTGTGTCTCCCCCCAGGTCACTGTGTCTCCCCCCAGGTCACTGTCTCCCCCAGGTTACTGTGTCCCCCAGGTCACTGTGTTCGAGGCCTGAGCTATACCAGGCTTTTCCTAACTTGCCGGATTGCTTTCACATTGCAGAGAACGGTGATGGGATTCAGTGCTGCGTCAACGGGCAGGAGGTGACGGGTCCTCTCCGTCACCCACGCTGCTGGCCCATCGACACCAGAGGAGACCCCTTAATGGGCTCTCAGGGAGGTGGAGGCTGCATGAACTTCGTCAGGAGTATGGTCGGTGTGGGCGCCGGCTCCGACTGCACCTTTGGCTACGCAGAACAGGTCCGTGGCGTCCAGAGAATTATTTAGACTTGAGTGTGATATTCGTTGATACACATGTAAACTTCAGTGTGATATTCGTTGATACACATGTAAACATATGCATTTTGGTCATGCATCTACTTGACCAAAATCGACCAAAATCAACCAAAATCAAGCAAGCAAAAGCATATACTTTTACGAGATGCGCCATGATATAACACGTTTCGGTAACTTACAAAAATACACTAACAAATATTAATGGAAATATACGGACGAAGTTAGTGATATCGGTGTAATCGTCGTTATGATGCTTTCATGGCATATTTACTTAATGCAAAAAAATGCTTGGTAATTTGCGCATGTGCAGAGCTGTTATAGAGGTATGTCCAGTCCAGGGACATGCGAGGTTATAAAAGGCAACTGCAGCAGGGACATACAGTCATTACAGTAAACCACATGGGACACAAGATATACGAGACTACTACAGTGACATGCAAGAGCCCAATGTCACGCAGAGCTATTATAGAGAACAGCCGGGACCACCAGGCATACAGAGCAATTATAGTGAACAGCAGGGACTTACAGACATGCAAGAAATGCCAATGTTAAATCAGCAATGTTAACGACATTTTACTTGTCTTTCCTTTGCTCGTCTGTCTTGACAAAAGAGCTGGTCAAAGAATGATCTAGAGGAGTAACGTGATTTTCTTGACAAATCTGCTGGGTTCAATGTGACTAAATTTTATTGGTCGGAATATCAGGGACAGGGTGCCAGAACCAATTGGCCGGGAGCCAGCACGCACAGGGACCAAGGATTGGGACACTTGACCAAAGTAAGCATGATAAGATTCTAGCCTAGGAGTCTTTAGGGCAAGAATGATGTAGTCTTCATACATCATGAAGAAAGGTAGAAGATTTCCTTCATGATGTAGCCCATGTTCCTACATCATGAAGGAAGGCTTTCCTGTGTATTAAGGCCAGCGATTCAGCTGAAGTTTTGTAGAAAACTCATCTACTTGAAGCAGACATATGAGGCTGCATTTACCAGAGACAAGCAGAAAGCAGGAATACCAGGGGTGACATGAAGCCATCCACTGCGGGATTCATACAACTGTTTTTCCGTGAATGTAATGTAGAGAATTGCACACTGCATGTTGCACATAAGCGTTGTCTACGACACAACACTGTATTGAAAGAGAAGTTTACTGACATATTAACATGAGAATCAAATAAGTGTGTCCGTAATATACCAAATGATTGTTTGGTAAAAGTAGTAACCTAATTGGTAGTGAACCACACATGATGAATTTACCTACGAGCGTAATATACAGAGTTTACTAGAACATTCCAGGCGGAGCGGAGCCTGCAGTGATTTTTCCGGAAAGCCTAAGCATCTTCAAGCAAGACGGCAACGAGAGCTTAGAGTTTGGGACACAAGTGAGCACATTTCAATGTAATGTGAGGATGTGTGCTTGTAGCAATTGGCACAGATGATACAAGGGATAGGGACCAGGTGGAGTACGAGGCACGAAATTAGGATTTTATGTTATAAAATAATTGTGAGATCGTCCCTGGAGATTATCCTTACAGCTGGCATACATTATGATACATTCTCCTTACAAGTGATACAAGTCAAGATAACATCCTCTTTACAGCTGACAAACATAGTAACACATTTCACTTTCTATCCCCAGACTAACACCTCAAAGATCAAACGACTGACTCGAAATGATCCAATGCTCCCTCATCCTAAACTCCAATGACAAACTCGAGACTCTAAAAATGCTCCCTTTTACAGCTGAACCAGTTAACTCACTGGATAGACGGATCGACGGTGTACGGGTCGGACGTGGACCAGCAGCGGGCGCTGAGGGAGTTCAGGAACGGTCTGCTCAAGACCTCAGGAGACAACCTCCTCCCCATCAACCCTAATCAGGGAGGCAACTGCGAGGGTCGACAGCGAGGCGTCCTCTGCTACCTGGCAGGTTGGTACTGGGCGTTCATCACGCTGGTGTAAAGGCATAGCTAGTGTATGAGTAATGTTGGTGTATACGTAGTGCTGGTGTATGAGTAACTGTGGTATACCTCACTGTTGTGGGTTAGGTTTGGTCGCCAGTAGCACTGTTGTCGTCACATTGCTGACCTAGTCTATCTCTTAGCTGAGTTTCCTATTAAATAATGAGTGAGCAATTATTGTTAACAGATCCCACAGCGACATTCGCATCCCACGGTATTTCCTCTATACGAATCCGCAACACTGATACACATTACTAAAAGGAACCCCAACTGACATGCTTGTGTGTGATGGCAGGTGACTCGCGGGTGAACGAGCAGCCCAGCCTCACTGCCATCCACATCCTCTGGCTGAGGCAACACAATCTGGTGGCCAGGAACCTCCAGAACCTCAACCCGCAGTGGTCGGACGAGGCCGTCTTCCAGGAGACCCGCAGGATCATCATTGCTCAGATCCAGCACATCACCTTCAACGAGTGGCTTCCTATCATTGTCGGTGAGTGTGTAGTTTTTCGTGTGACGGAGATAGAGAGAGACAGAGAAATATGTAAATTGTTGGTTAAACAATTACATCTATCACATTTGTTCCATAAACCACTAGGATTCATCGGTCACAATAATGCAACACTTATACAGTATATAGTTAAAAATCAGTTATAAAAACGGATTAAATTTACTCTATACTTTCAGGGGAGAGTTTCATGAATTCGTTTGGAATCAGATCCTTGCCCTCTGGCTACAGCTTCGACTACAATCCTAACTTCAACCCAAGTATGAACAACGAATTCTCGACGGCTGCCTTCAGGTTCGGACACACCCTGGTGCAAGGGACAATGAGGTGGGTGTACGTTATTAACGACACTGGTTACTGGTATTGACTTGGGCACACAACACACACACACACACACACACACACACACACACACACACACACACACACACACACACACACAAACACGCAAACACACACACGCGGGTAATTAATGGAAACACAAGCTCCATACTTTGGACTCTTACAGAAGATGGGAAGAAAATTGTATTCTTGATAATCTATAATCACCTGACAAACAGTAAAATATTCTAGAGGGGCATATGATGATATCAAGAAGACATTTATAGATGAGGGCAGATGGCAGAAACAACAGCTCACAGAATGAGAGGGAACCTGTTGGTCATGGGGGACCTTAAACACGGAGAGATCGATTGGGAATCAAGGAATTCCCATGGTGGGGAAGAAACGTGGTGAGCACATTTAGTGGAAGTTATTTACATGAATTTCCTAACACACCATGTGAAGGAAGATGCAAGGGGAAAGAGGAGTGGATTCACCGAGCCTATTTTACCTGATTTTCACCCAGAATGAGGAAGACGCCCAGATTTGCGAATATGGAACATTAAATACCTCTAGGAGCCAGTGACCACTGTTTCATAGTCTTTGACTACTTTAACGAACTTAAAATTGTGACCACGGGATAAGAGGTCTGGGAAAGGAGAGTTGATTTCAGGAAAGGGGACTTCAGGAGAATAAGGGAATATTTGGGAGAAGTACAGTGGGTGAAAGAACTTAGAGGAAAACAAGTACAAGATATGATAGACCTAGGCATGTGGAAATGGAAGGATAACCTAAATCACTACATAGTCATATAATAAGGAAAATGTTCGTGAACGACCAAGTGACAAGACTAAGAAACAACAAAAGGGCCATATACAGAAAGCGACAAGGAAATCTGCGGGGTACTGAATGCCAGTTTCCGTGGAGTGTTCACAACCGAACCTGAGAAGCTCCCATTGTTAGAAGAGATGATGTTAGGAAGAGCACCCCAAGCACTGTGCAGCAGCTCGGTCTACAATGGGGCCATCCCAGTTGGATTGTCTTACGAGCTTGCGGGTGATTGGAGTGAAAGACATGTCCAGCATGATGACACAGACAAGGCAGCGAGAACTGTATGTGATAAGCCTGAAATTGAGTTGGAAAAGGGCATTCTAATCTCAGCTGTAAAAGTCCAATATTTCAGGAAATTGGGGACGACAGATGAGCAGTTACTGACACTCAAAGACCAGAAAGCACGAGTATAAAGAACTATGACCTGTTTAGAACCGAGAATTGTATGTACGGACAGCATAAAACATCCACCAGACAGTGTGACATTGGCATTGCCAGAATTAGGCTGGGATATCGATATCTAAGGCAGGTGGCTGCAGATAATGAATCCCCAATGGGGAACATTCTAATTGTAAACTATGTGAACAAGAGCTAGGACATACTCTCCAACACTTTACCTGTGATTGCCCTGTTATCAGTAATTTCAGACCAAATGGTATAGGGTACTTTGAGCACTGTAATTACTTCATGCACACAGGAATATTGGAAGATATTCTTGTGCTGTACCCAGATTTTGCTAGAGGAGGCAAATAAATTAGCTTGGCATTTGATGTTCTCTCCTGATTCCATGTATGACTAATCATCCTATGAGATGGGGATATTATATGAAACTTATAGCTAGTTTGCCTCTACACTGTGTAATCTTTCATATAGAGTAGGGTAGTAACACATTGCTGTGTATACATACCTAAGCGTGTTAAATAAAAAATTTAGACTCTCCAGTAGTTTTCGGCAGGTGAAGTCCAGATATTTTTTCTTTAACAGCTTCACTCAATCTGTTAAGTTTTGCTTTCAGTTCGGCAGTAGTGTCCCTAGTGATTCTTTAGAATTTAGTTTGATCCGAGAGGATGAGGTTATTTTTTCTCAATATATTCTCTAATTTGTCTATTAGTTTGAAAGTATTGTGATGCCTTAATTTAATATTTTGGTAAGAGCACCCAGTACATTTGTCCTGGTGGCGCTGACAACTGCACGGGAGCACCCAGTACACTTGTCCTAATGAGGCTGACGGCTGATCTTTGGCAGGTTATTTTCGGCGTCAGGCGGCGTCAGCTCGCAGAGGATGCGAGACCACTTCAACTCGCCCCACCTGATCCAGACTCATGGCCTCCTGGACGACATCGTCAGGAGCCTCACTCAGCTCCCCATACAGAGCTTCGACCCCTTCGTCACACATGAACTCTCCAATCATTTGTTCCAGGCGAGTTTATTTTTCTTATTATCTAATCTACCTAATTATTTTTCGTTTAGCTTTCTAATAGCCTGTTCTGGCTATGTATCTCGGTTCGCTATCTCCCTCTTGCTCAGACAGATATTAAATTTCTGATATTCTTACTGATTTTTAACCCGCTTGCCATTCTTGCTAGAAATAATTGTATTGTGTCTCCAACGATCAAATCTGAAACCTTCTATTAGATAATATATTGACACGTCTGAACATACTTGCAGACGCCGAAGTTTCCGTTCGGCATGGACCTGATGAGTCTGAACCTTCATCGAGGGCGGGACCACGGCATCGCCACCTACAACGACATGAGACACGTCTGCGGCCTGCCTCGGGCCCGCACCTTCAACGACATCAGGGACCAGATCAGTCCTGAGGCAAGTCCGGACGGAATGTGGGGGAGTATATAATGAGTGTGGCTTTGATGAGTGTGTCATTGATGAGCGTGGCTTTGATGAGCATGGGTTTGTTGAGTGTGTCTGGGTAAGGCTTTAATTTATTCGTTTTCCATTGAAAATAGTTAGCTATTAAGCTATTTTGATTCAGTTTCTGATTCAGAAGTTGTGAACAAATAAATTGCTCGAGAGGTTCACTAAGAGACGAGAGACAATGAGAGAGATGTTCAAAAGATTCCATAAATATGAAAGGACTTATTCCTAAGTCGCCAAGACATCATAGCCATGCAGAAACCTAATAAACAGAAAACAGACCAATGAGAGGAAAGATCATAGGAAGCCAATGCCAAACAAATGAGGAAGACCCCAGAGCCAGTCTTAGGACCCATGATGATGTGATATTTATCATAGCTTTTTTTGGCTTGTAATTATATCGAAACTCAGCTGCAATAGACATGTTTTAATCATCAAACCGGATGGTAACATACATGAACTAAAGACAACTTCACCCATCATATAACATAACCCCCAAGGGACTCAGAAACTACTCTAATCAAGTGCATCCATAGGTCAGATCTCTCCCGAAAACAGCATGGCAACTAGTGTTTGTACTACTGATAACCACCTCAGATCACACACATCACCCACACTATAACCGCTCAACACAGATCAAAGACCTCAATCTCTGGATGAATACTAAGTATTTTTATTATATATTACTTATAGAGTGATAACTCCTATATTTATTCATTAATACGTAAATTAAGGTATGACTCAGTTATTTACTCCATAAATATAACTTGGTCATAACACTCGACTGTTGCACTACAACGGAGAGGGAAGAGTGTGCGAGATCACCACATCACACCGGTGGTTACACACAATATGAAGCTGATGATGCCTAGACTCTCTGTATTCATATAAGCAAATACATTTTAGAAGCCAGATTCGTGCCGTTTTCTTCTACTGACTTACACGCGATACTATGCTATTTCCGACAGGAACCAAATTAAAGGTCGAGTAATTATCATCTCTGCGAAGAGATCTCCCATGAACAATATTGGGATCCCTAAGTTGGGATTGCCAGAAGCTTGTGGGGCTCCTGGCAACTGGCTAGCGTGCTCATACATTAAGACGGCACTAACTCAAGGGAAATCGACTAAGTACTCAGGGGGGGGGGGGGTGGTGTCGACCTGGTACTCAGGGGTGGTGTCGACCTGGTACTCATGGGTGTCGACAAGGTGCTTAGGAACAATAAAGAGTAACTGCTGATCACAGCAATCACCTTCCCCTTCAGGTCGTCCAGAGGCTCTCCACCATGTACAAGACAGTCGATGACATCGACTTCTTCGTTGGGGGACTCATGGAGCGGTCGGTCTCTGGTGGTCTATTGGGCTGGACCTTCCTTTGTGTCGTGGGAGACCAGTTCGCACGACTGAAGAAGGGAGACCGATTCTTCTACGATATCGGAGGACAGCCAGGCTCCTTCACTCTTCGTAAGTTGCTTGCGGTTAACCGGAGAAATAGGAGTATGAGCAAGGTACTGGATACTCTAAGATGTGAGGGTATTGTAGTTTGATGAGGTTATTGTCTGAAGTATTGTAGTGTTAGATAGTTAGGGTGTATGTACTGATGTAGGTTGTATGTTCTGTGATAGGTAGTATAAGCTATGGCTGGGGTGCATGTACTGTGATAGATAGTATATACTGAGGTAGGGTGTATGTTGTGAAAGGTAGTATATACTGTGGTAGGGTTAAGGTACTATAGCAGGGTGAAGGTACTATGGTAGGATTAAGGCACTGTGATAGAGTGAAGGGGACAAAGATAGGAATAAGGTACTATGGAAAGATGAAGGTACTATGGAAAGATGAAGGTACTGTGGTAGAGTGAGGGTACTGTTAAGGAGTGAAGGTACTGAGTACTATATAAGGCTGAAGGTACTATGGAGAAGTGAATGTACTGAGTACGGTGAAGGTAACGCTTCACTAGTCACTCTTAATTCTTTTTTCTACATGGTCATCACCGTCCACCAGTCCTGTTCCTCACTGTGCCTATCCCATCACCGTCCACCAGTCCTGTTCCTCACTGTGCCTATCCCATCACCACCCACCAGTCCTGTTCCTTACTGTGCCACTTCCACCATCGTCCACAATTCCTGTTCCTCACTGTGCCTATCCCATTACCACCCATCAGTCCTGTTCCTCACTGTGCCTGTCCCATCACCACCCACCAGTCCTATTCCTCACTGATTATGCCCGTGAGGTATCTTGCCTCACACTCACGTGGTGCCGTGATCAACACCGGTGTTCTCCTGCAGCCCAGCTTGAGGAGATCCGCCGCACCTCCTGGGCCAGGATCATCTGCGACAACGCCAACATCCCGGCCGTCCAGCCCTTAGCCTTCCGCCAGGCCAACACCAGACTGTGAGTTGTGGACTGTGGCCCTGGTAGACCAACACGTGGGTCTGCCATGGGCCTGGTAGCTATGATGTTCTGACTCGTGTTTGAGCTTCAATTAAGGTGTACTGACTCGTGTTTGAACTTCAGCTGAGGTGTTCTGACACGTGTTTGAACTCCAGCTGAGGTGTTCTGACACGTGTTTGAACTTCAGCTGAGGTGTTCTGACACGTGTTTGAACTTCAGCTGAGGTGTTCTGACACGTGTTTGAACTTCAGCTGAGGTGTTCTGACACGTGTTTGAACTTCAGCTGAGGTGTTCTGACACGTGTTTGAACTTCAGCTGAGGTGTTCTGACACGTGTTTGAATTTCAGCTGAGGTGTTCTGACACGTGTTTGAACTTCATCTGAGGTGTTCTGACACGTGTCTGAACTTCAGCTGAGGTGTACTGACAAGTGTCTGAACTTCAGCTGAGGTGTTCTGACAAGTGTTCGAGTTTTCCTTGTCTTACAATAGGAGCCATAAAACAACTTCGTTTTGTCAATATTCACATGTTACCGTTGTTTATGTGATCCCAGACTACTCCTCCGTCTTCTCTTGACAGGAACCAGCCGGTGTCGTGTCAAGGTCCCAACATCCCAAAACCCAACTGGCTGTTGTGGCGTGGGGAGCGGCCAGCAGCCTAGCCTCCTACCCTCAGTATGCCTAGCACATCTCCTCACTACGCCTTGTTTCCTCCACCAGCACACTTCACCTGTCCTCAGCACGCCTCGCCTCCTCTCCTTAGCATGTCTTGACCTCAACCGTGAGCACGTCTTCCAGGACCTGCTGAGGACCACGGGACGTGTCTCAATGCGCACAGAAGAGTGAATATGACATGTAGATCTGAATGATGCAACATTTCTTTTGATATCTACCAGTGTTGATATCTGTAAATAATATATACAAACTTATGTTGGCTTCTAGTGTGTGTGTACTCACCTAATTGTACTCACCTAATTGTGCTTGCGGGGGTTGAGCTCTGGCTCTTTGATCCCGCCTCTCAACCGTCAATCAACTGGTGTACAGGTTCCTGAGCCTATTGGGCTCTATCATATCTACACTTGAAACTGTGTATGGAGTCAGCCTCCACCACATCACTTCCTAGTGCATTCCATTTGTCAACCACTCTGACACTAAAAAAGTTTTTTCTAATATCTCTGTGGCTCATTTGGGCACTCAGTTTCCACCTGTGTCCCCTAGTGCGTGTGCCCCTTTGTGTTAAATAGACTGTCTTTATCTACCCTATCAATTCCCTTGAGAATCTTGAATGTGGTGATCATGTCCCCCCTAACTCTTCTGTCTTCCAGCGAAGTGAGGTTTAATTCCCGTAGTCTCTCCTCGTAGCTCATACCTCTCAGCTCGGGTACTACTCTGGTGGCAAACCTTTGAATCTTTTCCAGTTTGGTCTTATCCTTGACTAGATATGGCCTCCATGCTGGAGCTGCATACTCCAGGATTGGCCTAACATGTGGTATACAAAGATCTGAATGATTCCTTACACAAGTGTCTGAATGCTGTTCTTATGTTGGCCAGCCTGGCATATGCCGCTGATGTTATCCTCTTGATATGGGCTGTAGGGGACAGGTCTGGTGTGATATCAACCCCCAAGTCTTTTTCTTTCTCTAACTCTTGAAGTATTTCATCTCCCAGATGGTACCTTGTATCTGGCCTCCTGCTCCCTACACCTATCTTCATTACATTTGCTTGGGTTAAACTCTAACAACCATTAGTTTGACCATTTCTTCAGCTTGTCTAGGTCTTCTTGAAGCCTCAAGCAGTCCTCCTCTGTCTTAATCCTCATAATTTTGGCATTGTCCGCAAACATTGAGAAAAATGTGTGTGTGTGTGTGTGTGTGTGTGTGTGTGTGTGTGTGTGTGTGTGTGTGTGTGTGTGTGTGTGTGTGTGTGTGTGTGTGTGTGTGTGTGTGCGTGCGTGCGCGCGCGCGCACACACGACTCTAAAAGCAATTTCATTAAGTGATGAGCACCACAGCAGGCAACAGAGGTCGAGTTACAATATATTTATATGGCGAAGCTATATGACCTCCCTGGCCCAACAATCAGAGTCAAGTCATGCATTTCATCACTATTTTTAACACAGAGGCCAGTTTGTACACTATCGCCAACATATTAATACTTCGCCTAAAGCTATCCTAGAAGTAACAGTACTGCTAATGATTTGTTAATATTATTTGATATGTATATGAAGCCCATTGGATGTTTGCAGTTTAGATTCCTACCCAACTGTATTGCTACGCTTGTTGCTATACTTAAGATGTTTTATTTATATATCCAAGCTCATATCTGTTTGCCCTGTAAATTATATATATTACCAAATAAATAAAAACCACACTATTGAGCAAAAATGCATTTTATTAGCATATGGTGATTTTAGCTTTGAGATTTTATTCTAGCTAACTCATACTACTTTGCTACGTGATGAGCTGGGTCTGTTTTATGTTATACTTTCTTCAATGTTGTTTATGCTCACAATAATGAATTACAAAACAATGAGCTTAACAATAACTAGTGTTTTGTGTTAACCCATTTATAACATGGGGCCATATGATAGCCAACTCAACACATGCAGCACATGTTAGTCAAAGTCAACACATGCAGCCTTTCACAGTTGTGGGGTATTTTTACCAGCAGGATTTATTTGCTAATTTATATATATATAATATAATTATTAATTTATTGAACTTAATTTATTAATAATAATAAAGAATGGACTGTATATTTAAAAGTGGACTGTATGTTCTAAAATTATACTAATTTTGTTTTTATTATTTTAATTCAAACACAGTGGTTTCATTCTAATACCCTTAGATATGACTGAAGTGTGATAGGCCTCGGTGAATATTTAACCCAGTGACGAAAGCACGAGCACAGCTCTAGCAGCGGAGGGTAACAGCTTTCTGACAGAGGGGCTTTGAGACTTGGGCGGTTCACCTCAAGGAGTCGTGAACCTGTGGTAAACAGGGCTCGAGATGCCTAGGAAATCTATCTCTAGCGCATGGTTCATGACGTAATTCATTCTACCATTTAGATAGAGACCGGGCCGTATGGACGCTGATCCTCGGAATCACCAACAGCTAAATGTCCAAGATTCATTTACCATATAAATAAATACTCAGATCAGTCGAAAATCCTAAAAAAATAGTCATCAAATAGCATTAAATTGCGTATTTAATCAAAGAAATTCACTTTGGTTGAGTAGCCCTATTTTCCAAACAGTTAAGACTTATAGCTGACAGATTCTATACGTCTGTCCTTTTACTTTTGATTCAGCTATATATATCTCAGCCTATAGAATTCAGGGTCTAATTCATATCCTTACGAAATAATAGAAATAATTCTGTATAACTCTCTTGAGCACATCTTATCAGACGACACAGTATAAAAGAGACATTCATGCCCAAGACTAATCCATAAAATTCGTCAATCTTTCATAATAAGATAAAACTGGTTAACTTGTTCTTCGTGAATGATGGGGATTTTATAAGTACACTGGGTACACTGGCACTTTTTCAGAATGGAATACCTCAAGATGTTCAGCTGTCAACTTAATTTCAGCCATTTGAGAGTCAAATTAAAAATTTCCGAATTTTTTCCTTTGCAGTCTCTTTCTACCGCTGCAAGTTTTGTTCTGATTGGCTCTTTGTTTTGTAACTTTAGATTTGCTATGTAGAAAGGAAGGATGAGTGAGAGGAAGAATGAGGATGAGTGAGGAGGAATGAGAGGAAGAGCAAGGGAATGAAGGAGGAGGAGTAAAGAAGAACAACAGGTGACGCGAGAGGAGTGCGTGGAATGTCAGAACAACGTAAATCATACGCAGTAACAGGAGGAACCTTTGACGCAGAAAATGCCGCCAGACATCAAAGGATAATATTTATAGGATGGAAGCGAATGCATATTGCAGGATTGATCTATCAATATTCACCGTGCCTTCACACACGCTCTAACGAAATGGTATTCAAGACCTTGAAGGCTCCGACGGAAATAGTGTACGATCATTTTTTATTATGAGGGTTGCGCTATCTTGCTTTGATGGACAGAACGCCTGCTATCCTTGTTGTGGTCTTACTGAGCCAGCGAATGAACTTCCCTACGATGCAACTCACAACAGTGGCCTAACTCACGGATATATATATATTTATTGCTAAGTGAACAGAGGTATCAGGTATAGAATCGCGAGTATATACACCCGACCTCAAGAATGAAATCGAAGGCCTGGGGGATGGGGGTCAATCAGTTGTGAGCCGCCTGTGTCGACCACTGCGCTACTACTGGTTGAGGGGTAGACATACCGATGACAACGCCTGGCCTTTATTAAATCTGATATGATGAGGCCATAATTGGTGACAAGTCTTTTCAAGTAAAGTCTATGCTCATTTTGGTAGGTGAGGCATATATATGAACTAGAAGGATACCCAGCGGTACCCGGGCCTCTGTCCGTTTATCTCCCTCCCATTCCTCTATTCTCCCTCTTTCCCATTCTTCTTCCCTTCCATGCTCCATCCCTCCCTCCCATTCTTCCTCTACCAACCTCAGTCTCCCGTTCCCTCTCCTTTTCACTTTCCAGCACAAAACTTGCTCGAGTAAGGTTGAATCAACGTTATCGACGTTGAATTAACGTCGATAGGAGCTGATAAATAAATTGGAAAGCACTCTATGGACAATAAAACCTACATTTCAGAGACTTCCACAGAACTCGTTGGAAAGCAATAGAAGTCATTCCTAGTTAAAAAATGGCACGGGGGTCGACCACTACCATGCTATGATACTGGCCATACAATCCCAAATCACCCTGCAATGTTTGGTGAGGCTAGTCCCAAGCGTCTGGCACCAGACAAGAGCATTTAAATCGTTCATATTGTTTCCTAGACTCCTACTGTTTGTGTATTATACCTTAAGTGTACTGTTATTCTGATGCCCTTCTCTTTCCCTGTTCATTTTGCAAGTTTTTTACCCCACCAACACATACTTTTTTTGCCACCTATCCCAATGTAAATTTCCCATTCCACTATCTACTAACAGTTTAAACCCAAACAAACCCCTCCATCCACAGATTCCAATGAATTGGTAACAGCAACAACTCCAGTATTAGATAAATGCACCCAATTCAGTTCTTAAACCGATTATGTGCCTCCATAACCCTTTCCACCACCGCCCACTAGATGAGTATGGGGTGTATAATAAAGAAATTGAAATTGGATTATTATCAAGTCGTATACGCACCAGTAGAATATCGCCGGCAGTGTATGGCAAACCTTGGGATAAACTTCAGAAACTTGAGCAAGGGACTCTTCCAAGCGCTATATACATACTAAGTAAGACTCATTGTTGAGTATGCTGCCCCGGCATAGAACCTTCACTTGAAGAAAAAAAATCCAAAGCTTTGCAACGAGACCCGTTCTTGAACACAGAGAACAGAGTTATGAAGCAAGACTGTCGTGAGAAAGCTGCACCTCATCACACTAGGAGAGAAAGAATAGAACACATATGATAACGGCATAGAAGAGTCTAAGAGAATTTGGCCAAAAAGATATAGAACCATTGATCAAGGCAAAGTTATAAGCGCATTTAGGTAAGTACATCTATGTAAGCACACACACAGAAGGGAGTGTGAGAGTTTAGAGGAGGGAGGGAAGGGAAGTAGGTGAGTGTAGGGATAGGAGGGAGGAGAATGGATTGGGAAGTAGGAAGGATGAAAAATGAAAGGTTAACGAGAGAGGATGAGAGAATGGAATAGATGAGGAAAGGGAGAAAGATAAGCTTACAGAAAGAAAGATAGGATGGAAGGTTTGTGAAATGCATAATTGGATTTAAAGAGAGTGGGAGGGGGAAAAGGTGAGAGGGAAGGAGGGAGGGAGGGAGGAGGGTGTTGGAGGGCAGGTGGGAGGGAGGAGGGTGTTGGAGGGCAGGTGGGAGGGAGGGAGGGTGTTGGAGGGCAGGTGGGAGGGAAGGCAGGGTATTGGAGGGCAGGTGGGAGGGAGGGCAGGTGGGAGGGAGGGCAGGTGGGAGGGAGGGCAGGTGGGAGGGAGGGCAGGTGGGAGGGAGGGCAGGGAGGGAGGGTGTTGGAGGGCAGGTGGGAGGGAGGGCAGGTGGGAGGGAAGGCAGGTGGGAGGGAAGGCAGGTGGGAGGGAAGGCAGGTGGGAGGGAGGGCAGGTGGGAGGGAGGGAGGGCAGGTGGGAGGGAGGGCAGGTGGGAGGGAGGGCAGGTGGGAGGGAAGGCAGGGTGTTGGAGGGCAGGTGGGAGGGAGGGCAGGGTGCTGGAGGGCAGGTGGGAGGGAGGGCAGGTGGGAGGGAAGGGAGGAGGGTGTTGGAGGGCAGGTGGGAGGGAGGGCAGGTGGGAGGGAGGGCAGGAGGGAGGGAGGGCAGGAGGGAGGGAGGGCAGGAGGGAGGGAGGCTGGACAACGGAAGCGCACTAGTCTGCCTCGCATGAATTTCCGGAGTAGCGTCCTAGCATCCGGGCTCCACCCTTCCCTCAGGGGCGCCGCACATTCCCCTAACCACAGGGGCGTCGCACGTCCCTCTTCCATCAGGGGCGTCGGACGTCCCTCTTCCATCAGGGGCGTCTCACGTCCCCCATCCCTTAGGGACGTTGCACATCTCCTTTCCATCAGTTCCCTGGAGGAAGGGTGTTATCCTATGGTGTTATCCTATCCTCACCCAGTATACTTTCTGTTTAGCTAATAACGTGTTATGTTCACTGAGGTGATGTGATGAGAAAGGCAGTTCTCTTTGGGCAGTCCAGAACTCTTGACTTTGTCCTGTGAGAGGACAAAGTGGCTACCGTCGGTAGTAGCAGTGTTAGCTGCTGGATTTATGCAGTGTAGTTACATGACGACAGTAGTGCGTCTGTTGAGAAGGGCTGCTAGTGTGTTGTTAGAGACTTCTGCCAGTGTGTTAGCTACCCCTGTACGTGATTATTTGAGACCCTCATCAGCGTGTTGCTGAAACCCTCTGAACAGTGTGTTTCTGGAGAGCGGATGGTGGGGGTATTAGGCATTGTGCCGAGATGGTTTGCGAACTGGCCCATGTTGAGAAAGGTGAACTCTCCGGTGATTGCCATTGAGTGTGAACGACGTTTACCTAAACGTAGTGGACTTGCCGGGATTTGATGAACACTGCCGATCTATTGGGTGTCCTGAGCGAAAGCGACAGTGTAAATATGTGTAGTAAAACTCAGATATATTATATATATATTGGTGAAGGTGTAATTGCATACTGTTTATTCCCTCCACCCTTTATTCTTTGTACTACTACTTGCCACAGCCAGTTCTTGAAAACTTACCATCGACTTGAAATATCATCAAGATGAAGAGGTTATAAGACACGTTAACAGAAAGAACCCGGTTACTGGCCCAAGCTGGCCGTAACAGCCGGCCAGTCGTGCCCAACAAGGATTAGACCAGTTTGGGCCTATATATATATTATATTATATATATATATATATATATATATATATATATATATATATATATATATATATATATATATATATATATATATATATATATATATTTATTAGATAGATATAACAGTGTCAGACCATGGAGGAAGAATTGAAACAGGAATTTCCTTAAGTACTTTCGTATATTTATACATCTTCAGAAGGAATGAAGAATTCCTTCTGAAGATATATGAATATACGAAAGTAGTTAAGGAAATTCCTGTTTCAATTCCTCCTCCATGGTCTGACACTGTCATATCTATTATATATATATATATATATATATATATATATATATATATATATATATATATATATATATATATATATATATATATATATATATATATACCTTCTGAAGATGTATTTAATATACGAAAGTACTTAAGGAAATTTCCTGTTTCATTTTTCCTCCGTGGTCTGACATTGTCACATTCTTAATCACGTGTTTATTTTCGTGATATACACACATATATATATATATATATATATATATATATATATAGAAAGAGATAGAGGGAAACACAAAGGTATAGATAGAGTGAGATAGAATTTTGTGAGGAGAGAGGGGAGGGAGGGAAAGAGAGAGATAGCAGTTGAAAAGCGTGTTACAGTTGACTCTTCCCCCCCCCCCCATCTCTCATCCCTCCCTCCTGCCACCTGGGTCCCACTCACATGAATGAGGAAGCCTGTCCTCATTATCAAATCGGCGGACAACACCCAAACACCCCGCCCAATGGTCCACCCTCCACCCTCACCACCCACCACATCCAGAACGCAAGTGGTGCTCCCAGTGCCTCGTACTGCTCCCAGTGCCTCTTGCTGCTCCTCGTGCTCCTCCCAGTGCCTCGTGCTCCTCCCAGTGCCTCGTGCTCCTCCCAGTGTATTTCCCACATGTGAGATATTCTGAACTTTTGTTTGAGGGAATTTGAAGTGGCGGGAAGCCTGAAGTGGCGGGAAGCCTGAAGTTGCTGCGGCCACGACACCCTGACCTTTAAGTTGCTGTCTTACACTACCACAAGCAACTGGGGAAAATAAGTGGTGAGAACATTTTAGAGTAACGAGTTTAACCGAGAGACGAAAGTTCTAGGTTAGTAGCGGTGAACTGTCTCGTATTAAGTGATTATATCTTGTGTCGAGGAGAGAGATGAGGTGAACCACCCTCGAAACTTTAACAGAACCACAACGAACCGTTCCTTATGCGGTGCTAGAAACTGATAGTTATAGTCACATAAACAAAGACTTAAGCCAACGGTCTGTCGAACATTCAGATGAACAAACGTCTGATCAAACATGTGAACCAACAAACTCATAAAGGAGGCGGGTCAGCCCTGATTGCTGAGTGCGGTTTTGTTGGATTGTCTTAAGATGATATTGTGAGTGACTGGGCACCAGCCAGGCGAGCGCTGCTGCAACACGATGCCAGCTGACACAGTCTAATGATTCTAATGGACTCGAGGAATCACGCTCTATAATGCTTTCCGTGTCTGTTGACACAAGCCTCTCAGAACGAGCATACTATGTGACACATGTGTAATAGAGCAATGTGTCTCATGCGTAACACTCGGAGCATGCTATGTTTCCCATGTGTAACACTCAGAGCATACGATGTGTCTCATGCGTGACACTCATACCATACTGTGTGTTTCATGCGTAGCAATCGGAGCATGCTATGTGTCTCATGCGTAACACTTTGAGCACTTCTCATTAAACTGGAATTCTTTCACACTGAGAAATAATGTATCTCAGGGAATACCTTGGAGTATATGTCTGGCTTAAGCGTGTTTAAGAGAGTGTTAGCAAGGCAGCACATCATCAGAGAGTGTAGTACGAGGTGGACCTACTACTCCAAGGACCACCTCCAGCACCAGGACGGTGTAGGCAGTCCTCGCAGGCTGAAGGTAAGTCTTCACCGCACGTTCTGGACCAGATAACACAAGGATTGTCAATATTTGCTAATATTATTATCATCATCATCATCCACATCATTATCTTTATTATCATATTATTATTATTATTATTTGTAATATCATTATTAGTAATAATGAAATTAGCACTGCATATATCGTTGCTATTCATGTTACTGTTGAAATTATTGACGTAATTATCATTTTTGACATTATTCTCATCAATGACATTATGGTAGTTATTGACAGTATTCTTAATGTCTTCTGACGTTATTGTTATGTGAATGACGTCATCAGTCCTTATTGTTGTTGTTAGTGACGTCATCAGTCCTTATTGTTGTTGTTAGTGACGTCATCAGTCATTATTGTTGTTGTTAGGATGTTAGCGACGCCTACACTTAGCTCCCACAGCCTACACTACGCTCCCACAGCCTACACTAGGCTACTACAGTCTACACTATGCTCCAACAGCCTACATTTCACTAATACTCTCCTATTGCTCTAGCAGTCTACTCTTAATTTTCTAAAACTTTATGTCTTTTGCATTCTTATTTCTTTTTACATGTTTATGCCCAATTTCCAGGCGGTAGGAGTGTGAGCGTGTAAGTTATGGAATGCGCAGATTTTCCCGATAATTAAACCATATTTCTTCTTCCATTGGCCGGCCCCTTCAGGGCGCCGGCTCCCAATGGTCTGGAGACTGGATTTATATCTCGTTCAGGGCGGCGTTGTCCAGCGCGCGGTATCGTTCGCTTGACATGTTTCTCATTGATTTTTGCCCAAGTGCAGTAACTGGGGATTTGAGTATGACATATTGGACCTCTGAGTGCGATAGTGTGGGTTTAGAGACCGACATCCTTAAGGCCTCACGGTGTGATGTCGTTGGTTTTCACTGCGAAATATTGGCCCCTTATGAGTGCGATACTGAAGGTTTAAGGTCAGGAACTAAAGCACTTGACTGCGATAGCTTGAATTTGGATCGCCGCAGCTTAGAATATTAAGTAGCATAGCTTTACGAAATAATTGTGACAACTTTACCCATTTAAAGAACCAACTTCTTGTTCTGAAGGAGTCAATTTCTCGCAAAGAAAGAACCACGCTCTCAAGGAGAATAGTTTTCGCATTAAAAAGTCAAAAGCATTCAAGGAACCAGTTTGTCACATAGAAGTAGTCACTGAAGCCACTGATCAGGACATTCCGTTAAGCGCCTACAATGGTATTTTATTAAAATCCCTCAAATTTTACCACAAAGTTATATATATATATATATATATATATATATATATATATATATATATATATATATATATATATATATATATATATATATATATATATATATATATATATAGGCGATGAGTCACAATAACGTGGCTGAAGTATGTTGACCAGACCACACACTAGAAATTGAAGGGACGACGACGTTTCGGTCCGTCCTGGACCATTCTCAAGTCGATTGTGAACGTCGTCGTCCCTTCAATTTCTAGTGTGTGGTCTGGTCAACATATATATATATATATATATATATATATATATATATATATATATATATATATATATATATATATATATATATATATATATATATATATATATATATATACATCTTCAATCTGGTGCCATTAGGAATCACATGAGACAAGCCCATGACATTACTCTAACAAGAGAAATGTTGAACAAGAATACTTGCATAATAGACAAAACCCAAGATTCAAGAAGATTACAAATTCTTGAGGCAATTCACATAAGAATAGAGCGACCTACCATGAACACCCAAATCACGGAACTATTTACTCTACCCACCATGAGAGTAAGGACAAGACAAGAACATATCGATGCCAACACAGAAGACAATGTCCAACATAACAGGCCAATTACACTGGATTAATCTTTGTGTTTAGATAGGAGATGCCTCGTATGGGCCAATACGCCTTCTGCAGCCCCTATGTTTATCCCTTATGTATCCCCCCATGTTTTTCACCTTCATTGTATTATCACCTGACCTAATGCGGGTATAAAATCAACTAGTATTGTAAGATCTGTTCACTTGAGAATGAACCATGGAGGTTCGAAACGTCGTGCAAATTATACAAATAAGTGTAATACACACTATAGTAAATCACTTCTTTTCTTCACCTTAAAAGTACGAAAATGAGCTTTGGAGAACTCCTATTCCAATTAAGCCCTGATGCTAAGAAAATAGTTAGAGGGATAGAAGCCCTAAACCAGAAAATAATAAATACAGAATATGCGGTCATATTCAATGAAACATATATATTATATATATATATATGCATGCATGCAATTGACGATCACAAAACAGAAGCAGTAAATATTATTTACATGCTTGTCCTCATACACTCTCAAGGTTAGGTAAGGTCTTGGTTTTCTATACAGATTTTCAGGCAAACTTTAATATTCACAATATTTTGGTGCGATGCTGGCGTTTAAGTGTATTTACGTACTATGCCGATAGTCGGGATTGTACTTATTACATAGTATTAAAACGTACTGTCTATTCGGAGGATGGGCTGACAAGAGGACACAAATGGAAGCTGGAAATACAAATGAGCCGAACGGTTAACTACCCTACACAGGTAGTTAAAAAGTGAAATGCTCTAAGTAAAATTGTGGAAGCCATCCATCCACAACTTTAAAGCCCGACAAAGAATTGGAATGACATAATAGTTAAATTGAAATACAACGGGTACAAGGGTAATAGCCGGGGCATAAAGAGCAAGACCTCACCTATCGATCAGTGTCTACGGGGAGTAAGTACCGGCAAAACTAAGATCAACATCTTACAGTACTGCGGCTCACTTTACCATCACCACCGTCTTAGACATCATCGGCCAGCGGAGTTCCCCTTCCTAGCGTTGACGTCTGTATCCTACACAACCAGTCACTATACCACTTTTTTAATACTTGTGTTTCATATCCCTTGTGTGGTAACCCATGTAGACCATTAAAATATTTATTATATCTGAATTCAGCAGTGAATAAGATAATACCATAGACTCCCACTCATTATATTTCGGTTGAAGCCATTTTCTATGACAGCTTAGTAACGCGTCCTTGGCTGTCCTGCACCCATATATACCTTCACTACTCTTCCCCACTCTCGTAGCCTGTACGGGTGTGTACTCACCTAGTTGTGCTTGTTGAGCTAGCTTGTACTCACCTGGTTGAGCTTTGGCTCTGTGGTCCCGCCTCTTGACTGTCAAAAAACTGGTGTACAGATTCTGGAGCCTACTGGGCTATTATAAAATCTACACTTGAAACTCTGTATGGAGTCAGCAATACACAGTGTTTGTGGTAGATCTCTGCCTCCACCACATCACTGACTAATGCATTCAATTTGTTAACAACTCTGACAGTGAAAAAAAATATTTCTAATGTCTCTGTGGCTCGTCTGGGCACCCATATCCAACTTATCTGAGTTTATGAACTCGCATACCAATCCTATATGTGGTTGTGGACCCCATACCCATAATATGGGTAGTTGTGGACCCCATACCCATCGTGAGAGTGGTTGTGGGCCCCATACCAATCTTATGTGTGATTGTGGACCCCATACTCATCCCATGTATGGTTGAGGTCAATTTTTTTCCATTCTGTGAGTAGTTGTGTACACTGATATCAATCCTGTGAGTTGTAGTAGGCCCCATACCCATCCTGTGAGTGATAGTAGATCCCATATCCCATCTTGCGAGTGGTGGTAGACCCCTTACCCATCCCGTGAGTGACAGTAGACACCATACCCATCCTGTGAGTGGTAGTGGAAAAAACATTACAGAGGCACATAATGGGCTCAGGAACTGTACCCCCAGAATCGTTTAACTAAGCAGGTTACAGAAATTATAAGCTACTTACAGATTTTAAGTAACATATCAACAGTCTACTTACAGTTTACAAAATTATTAACGTCCTGAATATTAAAGACATTCGGGCACCATTTTCACATTTCCAGTTTTTTTTTTATTTTTACATTATTTAAACCAAGGATATTTGAAACAGTTACTTCACTTGTAGAAATACACGAAGTAAGTCACATTTTCTTTTTTTATATCTTCACATGCAGTCGAGAGGTTAATACATATTAGATTCATGTATTAAAAAACTATTTTTTTATAATGGATAAGCTAAATATAAATTCAATGTAAGCTGTCTTCCCTCCATCCCAACCCTCTTCCTTCCCTCCTCTCCCATTCAGTCCCAGAGCCCATTATGTGCCTCTGTAACCCTTTCCACTACCGCCCACAAGATGGGTATGGGGTGCATAATAAATGAACTAAACTAACTCCCCCTCCCCCACCCCTAATCATAATGTTTGTCACATTGATGCTAATTTTATGTTTTAAATACCCAAACCGAAATGCTCAAGGTTGTGAGAGGCAAAATAATAATGGGCCAGGGTTACTACTCCCAGTACACACCGGGATGTGACACCAGTAAGGTATTAGGGCTAGGGTTACTACTCCCAGTACACACCGGGATGTGACACCAGTAAGGTATTAGGGCCAGGGTTACTACTCCCAGTACACACCGGGATGTGACACCAGTAAGGCATTAGGGCCAGGGTTACTACTACCAGTACACACCGGGATGTGACACCAGTAAGGCATTAGGGCTAGGGTTACTACTCCCAGTACACACCGGGATGTGACACCAGTAAGGTATTAGGGCCAGGGTTACTACTCCCAGTACACACCGGGATGTGACACCAGTAAGGCATTAGGGCCAGGGTTACTACTCCCAGTACACACCGGGATGTGACACCAGTAAGGCATTAGGGCCAGGGTTACTACTCCCAGTACACACCGGGATGTGACACCAGTAAGGTATTAGGGCCAGGGTTACTACTCCCAGTACACACCGGGATGTGACACCAGTAAGGTATTAGGGCCAGGGTTACTACTCCCAGTACACACCGGGATGTGACACCAGTAAGGTATTAGGGCCAGGGTTACTACTCCCAGTACACACCGGGATGT